ACCGCCAACAATACGTCCACTCAAATCGTCGCTAAGGCTGACCATACCTTCGGGTATGGTGCGAGCGAAGGCGCAAGCCACAAAAGACAAAACTATCACGAATTTCAACATTGCTCCTTTACAGATAGTTGCAAACAACTGCTGTTGACCAAAATGGTTAGCTTATTTATACCTAAAAAAATACTTGTAGTATAAGCCATATAATCAGTAATYAAAGATAATTGGCGTGTGACGTCTATTTTTCAACTTACTCCAAAATTTGTCGTTTTCAAGTGTGCTCATCCGTATGCAGATGATTAAAAAGATATTGTCTGGCACTTACGTGTAGAAATTGTATCGTTAGATAAGTTAGTAGCATATCAAGTCAGGCGGTCAGCGTTTTCACTATTTTTATTTCAGCATATGGAATCTGATTTTACATTTTTTATGAAATCTTTGTTTACATTTCTTGATGGTTGCTTCGCCTCGAATTTGTGTGTTGTGGTTTTACAAAGCTGTTTCTAAATGCTTGCTAAAATTTAAGCTTAAACAAGTACAACCTTTACTTATGGTTACACTGAAGCTGTAATTCCATGCCAAATAAAAAAAAATCCCTACAAAATTTCGATCTGTATGGCAGATATATGCTAAGTGGTCCAATATAGGCGGCGCAAAATTTCAGATCGATTCTTCAAGCTGCTGAAGAAAAGAGCATCAAATCACACAATTTCCAGAACTATAGAACGAAATCGACCGAGTTGAGACAGTTTGCATCGAGTTTTTCGATATTTTTAATGTGTCACGACGAGTCCCGAAATAAGAAGGATGAGTTTTCTTCTACTTTACTGGCGTTGACGGCTATAGGTAACAACAGCGCGCCAGTCGTTTCTTTTTTTCTCAAGGTTGAGCCAATTGGAGATCCAAGCGAAGCAAGGTCCTCTCCACCTGGTCCTTTCAACGGAGTGAAGATCTTTATCTTCCCCTGCTTCCCCCGGCGGGTACTGCGTCGAATACTTGCAGAGCTGTAGTGTTTTCGTCCACTCGGACGACATGAACTAGCCAGCGTCGTTGTATATCTCATACAGCTAACCGCTCCATCCAATGCGAAATTCACAGTTTGACAGCCAATATAGTTTCTACAGAAGTTGCATCGATCAAACATTTGTTTATAAGGTGATTAGCATTTGAAATGAAATGAAAGGAAAGCAAAAATAAATAAACAAATTCAAATTAATAAACATTTTTTGTATCTAAAGAGATTGTAAAGAGATAAAATAACACCAGAAGAGTTAAAGAAACTACGTACAGAATGCATTTAGCGCTTACGTGAGGGGAAACTCTATGTATTGCGAAACGATGCCAAGTTGCGGGCAGTGAATACGAATCAAACCTGTGATGAATTCAAGTAAGTGCCGATGTTTATTAATGAAACATTTGAGATAGATAAGATGAGTGCATTTGTTGACAGAGACATCGTGGATGCGTTAGTAAACAGGATAAAATGAACGTGATGACGAAGAGTCGTTTGTGGAATTCAGCTGCACGGGAAAATTAATATAT